GCGGGCTGGCTGGGAAACTACTGCTCTGAGAGCTCTACAGATTCCGTGGCGACAATTGCATAGCAGGGAGAGCTCTGGCTTGCTCTCGGGGGAAGCACGGCGGCGCGACAGCAGAGCATCACCGTTCCGAACGGGTGGGGTGCCGATCGCCTACAGCTCCATGCAAGCCATGCCTCATCACCATTTTGGCCTATGCCGCGGCATGTCAGGGGCGAAGGAGAAGGAGTGCGCGGAAGCAGATGCCAACCAACCCAGGCGCATTCTCATAACGAGGCGTTGGCAGTAATGGGCGGACTGGGGTGGGGCCACACGAGGGAGGACGGGGTTTCTTGGGTTGTCTTTCATGAAGCGGGATAGAGGGGGATGGGTAATGGCCAGGGAGGGTAAATGTCGCGTATTGTTCAGGCAGATGGGATATGGATAGGTAACAGGTCACAATCATGATTCTCTGTGCAGCGAGACGTGCCTACCTCCGAGGCATCGAAAGTGCCTGGCCAGGCTGAGAACTGAGGTGTATGTATGCCTGTAACCGGAACCGTCGCAGGCCCACCACAGCAAGGGATGCCTGTAGTGGAGCCTTGAGCTGCCCGAGACATAACCCTGATAACTGCATATATAGCCCTAAACAAGGCTGCGCTGCTGCACGGTCCCCGGTCGGCTCACCTCAACTCGCGCATTCGAGCTAACGACTCCAGGAGTTTATGCGCGTGCCGGGACTTCGTCAATCACGACACGACGACACGACACGACCATCAAAGAACCGCCGGGCATGGGCAGCACCGGTCTGTCGCCCTCACCTGCGCCTCCCTGCCGTACACAATAGCCAGCTTTCGTGGATGCAAGCACGCTTTTGATAACACGACCGCGCCGACGCCATGGCCACGATGGATTCGCGCAAGGGTATGCGACGTCCCCAATGCCCAACCTCGCGCGCCTGCCCGCATCAACCCGCCGCCATCACCCCCCCAGATCCCACAGAATGCCCAAAAGACTCTCCAGGCTGCCCAGCATGCTGACCACTTTTCCTTGTTCCTTCCCGCAGACGAGGAGACCACCATCAAGGTCGCCTCGACCAAGAAATCCGTCACGCCACGACCGCAAGCATTCGGCAAGATCAAGCTCAGGAAACCTCCCCCAAAACAGGCCAAGCCAGGCAACTGGAAGGAGGCCAGCGTCGTCGAAGGTTCGCCCCGCCCGCTTTTTGTATTTCTTGCGCTTGCCCGAGGTCGCCTGCTAATTGCCCGCCCGCACCACCCCCACCAGCAGATAAGAAGAAGTCCAAGGACAACGCCATCACCGCCGCCTCGCCCAGCCCCGTCACCAACCAGCTCGATGAGGCGTCGCGCGAGACATTCATCACCGGTCGGCCGCTAGAAGACCTGCCCGACATGTTCCAGTGCAAGCACTGCAAGAAAGGCATCACCCGAACCGCGGCTAAGGACCACATCGCCCAGTGCCTCAAGATCAAAAAGGAAAAGGCCCAGCGCAAGAAGGAGGCCCGCGAGGCCCGGGAGCGCTTGAAGGAGGCCGCCCGCGAAGAGGAGGCCCGCAAGGCCGATGGCGACGGCGCCCCCCGCCCCGATGATGACAGCGACGACGACGACGATGGGCCCAAGGACAGCAACGCCGGCAAGACGGCGGGCAAGGCTAAGAAGACCAACGTCGCCGGCAAGAAGCGCAAGGCTGAGGGCGAGCTCGACAAGGGCAAGGCCAAGAAGAAGAAGGACGAGCCGAAGCCAAAGGTCGCCAAGCCAAAGGGCCCCGTCGACGTCGAGCGCCAATGCGGCGTGCTGCTGCCCAATGGCCAGCCGTGCGCGCGCTCCCTGACCTGCAAGAGCCACAGCATGAGTGCAAAGCGTGCGGTTCCGGGCCGCTCTCTACCCTACGACATGCTCCTCGCCGCCTACCAGAAGAAGAACCAAGCGAAGCAGCAGAAGGCCGCCATCGACGCCAACGCGCCCCTCGAGGACGAGGATGACGCCGAACAGGGCCAGGTCGACAGCGACGAGGAGACCGCCGCCGTCATGGGCGCCCTCGCCAACTGGAACCCCCAGCCCATCGTGCCGCAGCCCGTCTTCGCCCCGACCAAGCGCCAGTACCAGCTCGCCCGCCTCCACGAGCAGCTGCAGACCGCCACCAACGGCGGCCGCGTCAACATCTTCAAGGTCGTCGGCTACGGCGCCCAGCGCCTGCCCGAGGGGCACCCCGGCCTGATGGACTACGAGGACGCGCCGGGCGAGCCCGACGGCGCCGTCATGGGCGGTGGTGGCGGCGGCGGCAACTTCTCCCGGCGCTCGTCGAGCTTCAGCCTCGCGGGCCCGCCGCAACGACGGCCCTCTGTTACCGGTCGAGCGTAGGGCGCTCAACGCTTGAACGTGCCGTCGTCTGCGGTGTTTCCTTACCTGTCCCCGGAGGCGTTCAGCGGGAGTGGCGACGTGTGGGATGCGGCCTTGCGCCCGCCAGACACGCCCTCCTTGGCTGCCGTCATGGCGAGCAGGGCCGGACAGGCGGCGCTGCGGCATCTTGAGCGGGACCGGCAGCGGGCGCAGGCGAGCATGCAGAAGGCCCGGGGCCGGCAACAGCGTGAGACGCAGGTTTCGGAGCACCGGGCGCGGGGGGAGCGGAGCCGGGAGCGAGAAGGCCGCGAGAAACACGTCAGGGAGAGTCTAGCGCGGGAGCAACAACAACAACAAATGCAGGAGCAACAAGCCCGAGAGTCATGGGTGCCGCAACAACAGCAAGCCCAGCAACAGCAGCCCCAGCAATCCCCGTCGCTCCCCGCCCAGCAACCCCAAACCCCGCCCCTCCCGCCGGCAGGCCGTCCGCGCAGCACCAGCCGCGCCCAGCAGCTCCTCCAGGAGCAGATGCAGATCCAGGGCCGCATGGCCGCCGTCGGACAGGGGCTGGGCCGGCGCACCCCCGCGCCGTCGTCGTCGCTCTCGCCGGCGGGGCCGCCCCCGGCCGCCCCCCCGCCGACGGTGGCTCGCGGTCAGTATCCCCTGCGCACCCCCGCGCCGTCGTCTTCTCTCTCCCCGCCGGGGCCGTCTCACATGCTGCCTCCCCCGATGCTGCCTCGGTCTTGGGAGGAGCTGCAGCAGGAGCTGCAGCAGGTTCGGCAACAGGCCCAGCAGGAGGCCCAGCAGGCTCAGGAGTTTCTGCAGCTTGGGCAGCAGGCTCAGCAGGCTCAGGAAGCTCAAATGCAGACTCTGCAGACTCAAGAAGAAGCGAGACAGCAGGCTCAACAGGAGGCTCAACAGCAGCCTTCACAGCAGGCTCAACAGCAGCCCGGCCGGCAGGGCCAACTAAAACCTCGGCCTTCGCAGGCTGTGCAGGAGCAGTCTGCACAGCAACCTCGTCAACAGCAGCCCCAACAGCAACTGCCTCGGCAGCCGACCGAATCGCAGTTTACCTTCCCCGCCGCGTCGATGGCGGTCGCCGTGGCGATTGCGGGGCCGCATAACCTGCGCCCGATGGTGGCGTCGCCGAAGGTGGCGGCCGCGGGTCTGGCGCCGGGGGTGCAGGCGCCGTCGGGGTTGACGCCGGCGGTGGCTGGTGAGCAGAAGGTGCCGGCCGTGGCAATGACGCCGAAAGTGCCAGTTGCGCCGATGACGCCGGGAGTGCCGACCGCGGCCATGACGCCAGCTGCGGTGCCTGAGAGTGGGCCGAGTGTGCCGGTTGCAGCAACAACACCAGCTGCGATGCCTGAGAATGGGCAGAAGGCGCCAGTCGCAAAAATGATGCCGGGGGTGCCGACCGCTTCAGTAACACTGGGAGTGCCGGTCGCGGCCATGACCCCGACAGTGCCAGTCCCAGCCACGACACCAGGGGCGCCCACTGCGTCTATGACACCAGCGGCGGGGGCGATGTCTGGGGGTGAACAGAGTGTGCCAGTCACGGCAATGATTCCGGGGGTGCCAGTCGTGCCAATGATGCCTGCACCGGGGTCGATGCCTGGGAGTGGGCAGAGTGTGCCAGCCGCGCCCATGATGCCGGAGATGCCGGCCGCAATATCGGCTGCGGCGGTGCCTGACAGTGGGCGGGTAGTTGTGGATGGGGAGGACTGCAGGGAGATGTGAGAGGGCGGATGGGTGGTGGGAAGATGTCGGGTTTTCGTTCGCGGTGGTTTTCGTTTTGGTTTTTCCTTCCTTCCCCTTTCGGATCTGATATTATGATTATACCCCCGGATCGCAGCTTACGCGCTGTTTATCCCCCCTTTTTTATATCCCCTTCTCGTTGCGTTCGTCGTTGTTTTATTTGACTCGTCACTGCTTTTTTTTTTTTTTCGTTTCTGGCTGCTCCCGTCATTGAGGGAAGGTGATGCGGTTCCACCCTCCTGATCTTTGGGTACTCCCCCTGGAGTAAGACTGCTGCTTGTCTCATCCACGGAGAGGGCAACTATTTGACGGGCGTGCTGGGCAGTTTTTTTCTTTTTTCTGTTCTTTTTTTTCTCTTTCAACTCACTGGGATCAAGGTTGGCTCTGATGGTGGATGGCTGGATGCATGGAATGCGGTGCTTTGCTTTGCTTTGGGCAATGGAGGCTTTGGAGGATTCATAATGCACTGCACAACCGTGGCGTTGGTTGGGATCTCGGCTGGGTTTGGGTGGTGGGTTTTCTGGTTTTTCCTTTGGTTTTCTTTTTCTTTTCGTTTTTCCCCCCGTCTCCGGGTTCCGTTTTGCCTTGGTTTGGTTGGGCTGGGCTGGGCTGGCTTGCTTCCCGACGGAGTCTGTTGTGAGGCCGGCTGGAGGGATCGAGTGTTGGGCTATGTTTTGCGTCTTGTGTATGATGGGTGGCTATGGGGTAAGGATTGGTGTAGTGTAAGCAAAGAGATTTGTATGCATGTGTTGACTTGTCCCTTTGCTGGTGCCACCCTTGAAGCGACCGACCATCCTCATCCATAACAAGACCCTCCCTCCCTGATTTATAACCCATACTCTACCCATCCACCCCCATCGGTTCCACCCGGTGCTGCTCCACCTCCAACTTCGGTGTTCCGAGTCAGGGCGTGTGGCTCAGTTGGTAGAGCGTTCGCTTAGCATCGTGGCTCCTTGAGGATCCCCTCTGGGTCTCTGTTCTGCGAAAGGTCCTGGGTTCGATTCCCAGCTCGTCCAATGTCTACTTACTTGGAATTCGGTGGGTGAGG